GAAGACAAAGATGCCTGGAACAAGGAGATGCCTAACAACAGAAGTTCTTAGCACACACATGTGTCAGCCAGAATCAGGCTTTCCCCAAAATACCTTAGGTCCCAAATGTTAAAGCTCTGACAGGAAAAACTGGCAACTTTGTGTTGTCAGAGATGGGCCATGGATAACTGTCCAAGATAAATCAGGAACTAGGAACCAAGAGCAAGCAAGTAAGCAGGCGTCAGAGGCAAGGACCATAGAAAGTGGCCTTATACTGAGTCAGATCATTGGTTCCTCTAGCTTAGGAGCATCTTCACTGACTGGCATGGCTTCTCCATGGGGACATTCCCAGCTTTATCAAGAGAAGTTGGTGCTGGAACCTAGGATGTTCTACAGGCAAAACAGATGTTCTTCTTTGAGCTACAGCCCTTCCTTTAGAGCAGGTGTCAAAAAGTCAGAGCCTGTGATTGCCTGGGCACCCATGAAGACTTGTAGGGGCTCCCCTGGGCAGATTCCACAGAACCTGAGCTTTTTTTTTTCTTTTTAATTAAGTTTCTAGCCCACCTAAGAAAGCTTTGGCACAAAATATGCAGTTGTTTTCTGTGAAATGAGAGTAAATATGGTGTGGTCATCTTGTGCATTTCCCTGTTGCTATTGGACAGCAACTCCATCTCTGTGTGTGTCTGTGTAAAATCACCAGAAAATCACTGTGTGTGATCTTCACCAGCAGGACACAGCAGATTTCTCACAGTAAGCATAAGGTTGTTGCAGGGGACTGTCACTCTGATTCTGCATTATGCCATCTCTCTGCACCCTAACAGCCATTTTGCATTATGCCACACACCTGCTTTGTGGCTGGAGCCTCCAGCACCCTCTCAAAAATCACAATATGCCTACTGATCCAAAAAGGCTGGTGACCCTTGCAGTAGAGCCAGAAGTTTAAGCTGAGGAGAAGCCAGGAACAACCTCCTCAAAAAATTGCAACAAATGGAACCGAAAAGACCATAGCCCCCTTCAGGCATTTTAAGTTTGAGCATGCAAAGGGGCAAGCAGAAACTTGTGCAACACTCCCGAGCCAAGGTGTGATCCACATTAGTCTAGAGGGAACTGTGTTATTCCTGTGTAGCATTTCCAAAATGGGGGGGGGGACACACCCTGGACACTCAAACAGGGTTCCTGACCACAGGCAGCTTTTGAATATATTTAGGTAACGTGCTTAGAAGCAGCCTACAGATCTTCCTGCTCTCACAGGCTCCTTAATTGCCCGGACGAGGCTATTATTTTCTGGTAATCCTTGCAATGGATATTGTGATCCTTATGAGTTCGACAGGGAGGCATTACAATCTCTCTGGACATCATGCCTTTATTATGTGACTCCTGAGGTCTGCTCTGGGCCTGAAGAATCACTTCAGGTGCAGGGAAAGCAACAAAACCCGCCCGTAACAATTAAAATGTAACTTTGAGCATGTACAGAGTGTTTCCCCCTCAGGTAAGTGGGTTAGGAATGAGTGGGTTAGGAATGCATGGTTTCTGGATCCTAAGGTGGCAGTAAGTTTTAGCCCAGGGATTGAGAAAGCGTATCCCTTCAGATGTCGGACACCAGTTCCCATCAGCCCCATGTGGCCAATAGCCAGGGATGATGGGAGTTGTAGTGTGACCTCCTCTGGCTGGCCACAGGTTTCCCACCTGTTTCTGACCCTCCCTTGTATTTATTATTAAATTGAACCCCACACTCCGCATCAAGCTGAAAGTTGTTGTTGTTTAGTTGTTTAGTCGTGTCCGACTTTTCGTGACCCCATGGACCAGAGCATGCAAGGCACCCCTGTCCTCCACTGCCTCCCGCAGTTTGGTCAGACTCATGTTTGTAGCTTCGAGAACACTGTCCGACCATCTCGTCCTCTGCTATCCCCTTCTCCTTGTGCCCTCCATCTTTCCCAACATCAGGGTCTTTTCCAGGGAGTCTTCTCTTCTCATGAGGTGGCCAAAGTATTGGAGCCTCAGCTTCACGATCTGTCCTTCCAGTGAGCACTCAGGGCTAATTTCCTTAAAAATGGATGCGTTTGATCTTCTTGCAGTCCATGGGACTCTCAAGAGTCTCCTCCAGCACCATAATTCAAAAGCATCAATTCTTCGGCGATCAGCCTTCTTTATGGTCCAGCTCTCACTTCAAGTTCAAAGTAGCTGCACATTATTCCACCTTGCTTTGTCCTTGCAACACCCCGGCAAGGTGTTATTGTGAGAAACAGGGACGGCCTGAGGTTTCTAGCTGAGTGGGGATTTTGAACCTGCCTCTCCCTGTTCCTAGGTCAGATTTTTAACACCATACTATTCAGCTATTAGGAACGTGGGTGGCACTATGGGTTAAACCACAGAGCCTAGGACTTGCTGATCAGAAGGTTTTAGCGGTTCGAATCCCCTCGACAGGGTGAGCTCCCCTGGGTAACGTGGATGCAGTTAGGCAGTTGAATGTGCATGCATACTCTGTCTGTTTCCCTCCCACCCTCTGTGTGGCCCTGGGCACTGGCAACTCACACTATGCCAATGGATGAGCCATTGGCCTGATCCAACAGGGTTTTTTGTGGGGGGGTTTTAATGTTTTTATGACACCTGTACCCAAACCTAAGGGACGCAGATGGCGCTCTGGGTTAAACCACAAAGCCTAAGGCTTGCCGATCAGAAGGTCACCAGTACGAATCCCGGTGACGGGGTGAGCTCCCGTTGCTCGGTCCCTGCTCCTGCCAACCTAGCAGTTCGAAAGCACATCAAAGTGCAAGTAGATAAATAGGTACCACTCCAGCGTGAAGGTAAACGGCGTTTTCGTGTGCTGCTCTGGTTCGCCAGAAGCGGCTTAGTCATGCTGGCCACATGACCCGGAAGCTGTACGCCGGCTCCCTCGGCCAATAAAGCGAGATGAGCGCCACAACCCCAGAGTCGGTCACGACTGGACTGGTCAGGGGTCCCTTTACCTTTATTCAGCTATTGGGGTGCTGTTTCTTGTTCAGAGTAGAAGGGAAAGCTGTGCTCAGATCCCTCACCGAACCATAGGGCTCTCTAGGCGACCTTAGGCCACTTACCGCTTAACCTAGCCCACCCACCCCACGGCCCTTGGCGAACAGCGCATGCATGCTGGATGGTGCGGGCACACATGCACTGAAATCCCTGCACCCTTGAGAGGCCTTTGTGTGCGAGCGTGTTTTAAATAGCTTCATCTGGTTTCCTCATTGAGGGAGGGTGTTAGTCATGCCGGGAGGGGGAAATGACTCAAGAACGCCTTTCATCTCCTCGCTGCGGGGGAGAAGCCGTGGGCGGCGCTTACTCAATGGGCCCAGGCCGGAGCTGAATTCACTTTTGTCAAGCCGGCGAGGGCTGGCGCTGAGCAATGGAGGCGGGGGAGCCGCCGGTGCCCCAGAGTGATGAATGGGGCGCTTTGGGAAGCGGCTAGGCCGGGGCAGACGGCAGATCAGCAAACCCGGTCGGCGGGCGTTTCAGGTGCGCCCAGACCGCCGTTGGAGGCTCTGCGCAGGAGAACCAAGCAGGAGACCGGTCGGCCTAGGGGCGGCTCCAGGAGGCGGGTGCTCAGCTGTGGCCGGAGCTGACTCAGACGATGCGGACCGGGGAAGCCCAGGCAGGCGTCGTCCCGAGCGAGGCGCGAGCTGGCACCGCCGCGATCGGCCGTGACTGTCCTGCCTTGGGGACGCTCCGTCGTCGGATCCTCCTTGCCAAACTGCCTCCGGGTGTATATGTGTGTGTGTTCAGTGTTCCCTTCCTCCTGGTCCTTTAAAGAGGTAACCCGGGGTGAACCGCGTTCACGCCCAACAATCAACACCACGCGTCTCCCCGGGCCATCAGCCCGTCTCTGGAGCGCGTGGTGTCTGTCTGTGAGAAGTTGTCAACTCGTGCTTCCTATGTGGCTCCCAGCTCGAATCCGCCAAGAAGTGCTGGTTCTCTCTATTTGGCCTTCGCCCATGTAAAAATAATAATGAAAATCGTGCCTCCTCCTCGCATCCTCACCACCCCCTCCCTCTCACGGTGACTGTGACACATTCCATGGGTGCGCGCGTCTGTCTCCCCACAGGATCTTGTGCTCCGCCTACTCGGAGCATGTGCAGAGTAACCCCCTTCTCTCGGATGGGCTGCCTGCCTCACAGGCGTTCTCCCTCTTGTAGAGACTGTGTGTGAAAGAGAATCCCCACGCCTCCCTCTCTGTGCATAAGCTACAATTCTGTGCACCCCTCCTTGGGAGAAAGCCCCATTTGACACAACGCGTCTTGCTTCCGAGTAAACCTGCCTGGGACCATCTGGCTGCAAAACACGGATTTGCTGCTTTTCATTCATTCCTGGAGTCGCCTTACCCCGGCGGCAGCCCTCGTTTCGCTCACCTGCTGCGCGTAAACAAACCACCACAGGGAAGAAAAAAAGACACTTCCACTCCTTTTTATTTTGGGGTACCGTTGCTGTTGGGGTGAATAAAGGAGAACTGGACAACAAGGGCTGATCGAAGGAGTTCTTTTTTTCCCGTAGCGAAAGCCGCTGCCGGACCACAAGAAACAAATGTGTAGTGAATAGGGCGAAGGAGGAGGAGGAAAAAACTGGAAGGGACGCGCGCGAGAGGAAAGTGGGTGGTGCTGCCTGAACAACTTCCCTTGACATCACTGCCCAAATAAGGAGCTTTAAAATAACCCTTTTCTGCCGAGGCTCGCCGGAGGGAAATTTCTCTCCCCCCCACCCCCTCCGCCGGCGTCTCAGGGTTCCTCACTTAGCTGGAGAGTAGGCATGGGCAAGAAGGCGGCCGGAAGGAGAGGGGATCCGACGGCAGTGGCAGAAGCAGCGGCAAAGTCTCGGTAAGCAGATGCTGGGGAAGGGGTGGCGCTGATGGGCTGTGCTTCTCCCTTATCAACTCTGGTCAGCTGGGAAAGAGGGAGGAGTGGCGGCTCCGGAGGGATCGGGGAGGCAGCCCCGCGTCCCCCGACGGGGGCCGGTTGCCGTAACACTCGGGCGCGTCTCTTCTCCGATGAGGTCACTCACTCCCCTTGAATGCGCCACCGGGACTCGACTTTTCTTTTTAAAGCTGGCTGCAGAAACGGCTGCCCCGTGTGCCCTGTTCGTCCCGAGAGGGCTTGTTTCTCTTGAGCTTCTGCCAGGCGAAGGCCAAGCGCCAGCCCTCGAAAGCAGGCGAAGCGAGCCACGGCCTCTCGGACAGGAACTGCAGCCGGGGGAAGGAGGGTGGTCATCTTGAATGTGATGCAAAGTCTCTGTTGGGGGCTGTGGTACGGAGCATCGGGGTGTGTGTATGTGTTGTCATCCGTGTCCTGGATCGGGATTTATTTGGGCCAGATTTGTGGGACGGAGGGAAGGGGGAGGCTGTCCCTGCTCCTTTTCTTTTGTCTACCCAGCCTTGACGCGAGGCCAGGTTTGGTTTGTGTGGACCCAGTAAGGTCTGCTCTCTGCTTGATCAACACCCCTATTTTATTTTTTAAAGTGTGTCTGGGTATGAAGGGGAGTGTCTTAGAGACACAACCTATGTGTGCTTACTCAGCAGCAAGTCCCACTAAGTTCAATGGTTAACTTCCTAGTGATTTTTACAGAAGCGATGAGGAACTTGAAGGTATCCAGAAGTTACTGCACTCTGGCTCCCATAGGCAATGGTTGCAGGTGATGGGAAGTGTAGTTCAGTAGTGCCTGGAGGCCTGCTTGCTTTGGGATAATTAGAAGGGAAATCAGTGCAGGGGTCATTTATGTTTTCGAATTATTTCTGTGTTGCTTTCCTATAGAATAATATTCAAAAGGGTTTGCCCATTTCGGCAGGAAGCAACCTATCAAAATGTCACAGCAAACTGATCAAATATGATGACCTTCCCCCTCGTTGGTGGAGATGGAATGGCAAGTGTGTAGCCTATCTAAGGCTTGGTGAATGTGGAGTTTAGTACCACAGGCAAGAAGCACGTAGATTAGGAGGCACGGTTGTTGCAACTTCCTCTCTTTCTCTTAAGGCTAGTTGTGGTGCTGTTGTGGATGACGTATGAAAAGGAACTGGACAATTTTTGTAAACGTTGATGGGGTCAGGCAGTGGCCACAGGAGGCCTCCAGCTTCAGAGGCAGAGAGAATTCAAATAAATGTCAAAAAGTTGTTATGGTGCTTGAGAACAGCAAAAGATCCTGTTGTGATGGTGCTCTTGTCACCGTTTTAAAAAGATGGCACAGTGAGAGACCTGCTCCATTTCCCAAGCTGAGAGGGGACAGACAAATCCTCTCTTTGTTTCAAGTTGTGTATTTATTTATTTCAAAAATTGTGGTGGTCCTAAGCATGTTTTCTTAGAAATAAAAAATTCTATTAAAATCAAAGGGATGTGCGAGCTGATAAATATGTTTAAGGCCAGGTGGCAGCGGCTGGGTGTATGAGACGTTCTGCTGCAGATTAAGGCCAATAGAATGGAGCACCTTTATTATTATCGTTATTTAAAAGCTAAATAATTTTTAAAAATGCATTAAGCCTCACTAAATGAGCTGTAATGAGTTAAGCTGCTTAATCCTGCTCAGTGGAAATTAATATGCGCTGCTTTACCGAGACATGTGACCTGAAACTGACAAGCATGTTCCAGACTGAGGATAAAATGTGTGGAAATTCATGGCCAGAGTTGGTTGGGATGCAAAGCATTCTCCCCTTCCACATCTGCTTTCCCATCCTTGAGCCTTTGGATCAGAGGCCATGCTAGGTACAGGGCAAAAATTGCTGGTGCTGATTTATAAGCATAGATCCCTCTGGGTGAATTAAGATGGTGGGTGGCAACAGCCATTCGGCAGGTAAAGTTTTAAAAAAGTTTTAAAGAAGGGAAGGGCAAGAGATCAAAAGAGACCCAGAGTGGTATACAGCCAAGTTTTGGGCAGAGTAGACTCCCTGAAATGAATGAACACGACTAAGTTAATGACCCTTAAATTCCATCAATTGGGGTTGAGTAAAACTTAGCTGGGTATGACTGGGAGTGGTGGTGGTATTCAGCTAAGGTCTATTCAGGAAGTGGAAGGAGCAAGCAGAATATAAAATGGAAGACGGTATAAAGAGGTGTGGGATATAGCTATTAACAATAAATTAACATGTACCATTAAGGTAAGATGGGGAATATGCAGGAGAAATGATTTTGAAGAGATATGGAAGGTTTTTGTAGAATTTGTACTGTTAAAACGGAAAGGGATCAAACCATCGCAAGAGGTATTGAAATTTTGGGAGGTTGGATAGTTATAATAGAATGGTCTCGTGGTGAGGTGCACATTTTTATTCTTATTTATTTATGATTATTACTTTGTTAAATAATAATAATAATAATTAGAAAACAAAGACCAAAAAATGACGAAGTTAATGCCCATTAATTTCTGTCAATTGGGTTTGAGTAACTTAGTTGGGTATGACCGTGGGGGATGGTATTCAGCTAAATTCTTTTCAGAGCAGACCCACTGAAATTAACATAGGAAGCTTCCTTTTACTGATTCAGACACCTGGTCCATCTAGTTCAGTATTGTCTACACTGACTGGCAGTGGCTCTGCAAGGTTTCAGGCAGGAACCCCTCCCACCCCTACCTGGAGATGCCTGGGGATTGAACCTGGGACCTCCTGGGATGCTCTGTCACTGAGCGAGGGTGCCATTAATGGACCAAAGTTAGCCATGTCTATTAATTCCATTGGCTCTGCTCAGAGTAGGACTTGCACTGGATACACCCCGCCAGGGTCTGGTCCCCATGGGCCACCTCTGAACAACATCCCTTTTTAGAACCGAACATAACTGGAGTCAGGTTCCCCTGGAAGAAATGTAAAGCTTAAGAGTGTGCTGTGATTTATAAGGCAAACTCTGGACCTGCTGACAAGCGACCTGGGGCTAGGAGGAAGCTGAGAGTGTTCTTTTCTTGTGAAATTAAGATTTCCACTGCTGGAGACTAGAAAATGCAGAACCAAACCAGCTGTTTTCTTATGCATTGCCTCATGTCTAGTTCTGTCTTCTATTATTGGAAGCCAGGATCCCCTTGTGCAGGAGAGAGACCTGTTCTTGTTCACTGGACACTGTCTCCCCACCCCCTTTCTTCTCCCTCCCTCCCTCCCCACCCCCACTTGCTGGGCTTCTTACACAACCTCAGAAAACATTTATGTCCTGTTTAGCTGTAACGCTTTTGCCGCCACCCTGCAGCTCTTCTGGGAAATGAAGGAAGGAAGGAAGGAGAAAATGGGGTCCCTGTACAAGGAGCATACTGTGGTCACAGCTAGGAGCGATCTTCTTGTGTTGCACAGTGAAAGCTCCTGTAATATTATGAGAAAGCCACGGGCCAGTTGCATGTATAACAAACAACCTGTGTGGTATTGGGACCATTTTATGAAATTGATGGGCAACCGGGTTGCAGACAGACTGGGGGAAGGGCACCTAGCTCAGTGATGGAACATCTGCTGTGCATGCAGAAGGTCTCAGGTTCAGCCCTTGATTTCTCCAGGTAGGACTGGGAATGAAACCCTGTCAGAAATCCTGGATAGACTCAGCCCCTCAGGGCAGACCAGAGTTAACCAGCACGGTTCCCTCCATGTGATGTTGGACTACAACTCCCATCAGCCTCAGCTGGCATAGACAGTGGCCAAGGATGTTGGGAACTGTATTCCAACAAATTATGGAGGGCACCACGCTGGCTGTCCATCATGTATACTGAAGTAGATAGACCTATCAATTGTCTGATGTGGTATAAGACACTTTCCTGTGTTCTTATTATGAAATAAAGTACCCTATTTTTTGCTCTATAAGACTCACTTTTTCCCTCCTAAAAAGTAAGGGGAAATGTATGTGCGTCTTATGGAGCTAATGCAGGCTGCGCAGCTATCCCAGAAGCCAAAACAGCAAAAGGGATTGCTGCTTTCACTGCGCAGCAATCCCTCTTGCTGTTCTGGCTTCTGAGATTCAGAATATTTTTTTTTCTTGTTTTCCTCCTCCAAAAACCAGGTGCGTCTTATAGAGCGAAAAATACGGTACTTTGGCACGCAGTGTGTTGTATGGGATTTATTGATGCTTTGAATGCTGGATTAGTGGATTCCCTGTATCGGAATGCAGGCTGGACGTTGAGATCCCTTCCAACTTGTATGAATTCTGTGAGTATGTTGCCACAAGATGTAGATTCAGTCTTAGTGTTGCAGATTCAGTGTTAGTGTGCCACTGAAATACCTGCTGCACAGTGGGAGAGGGCCACTGCCTTTATGCCTTGCTTGTGGGGTTCCCTGAGGCAACCAGCTGGCCACTGTGAGAAGCAGGATGCTGAGGAAGAGTTGGACCTTTGGTCTGCTCCATCAGGGCTCCTGCATGCATGGGAGGAGAGAGCTGTAGCTGAGGAGAGAGAGGCAGCGTCAGAGTCCAACGAGTACCCTGGGAGAAGATGCTGTTCAAAGAGTGGTGAGGCATCTCCTCTCTCTGGACCATGCCTGAGGCCTTTCATATATTGTCGCACTGCAGCTCCCATTATCCCTGAGCTTTGGCTATGCTGGTAGGAGTTGGAAGCCAGCAGCACCTGGCAGGTCACAAGGTTTTCCAACCGTGGGCCGGATCAACTATAGGCTATTCTGCTTCTGTGTCCTCATTCATTCCTCAGCTCTGCACATTTGCAATACCTGTGTGCCGAAACGGCTCTCCACACTGGCAACCTGTATGTTTAGTGTAAGATTTGAGACAATTCTGAGTTACAAGCCAGACTTTTTAACTTCTCAGAGGTGAGGAACAGCCCTTTCTGATTCTTGCTGCCAGCCCAAGATGTGTGTGGACTGTTGTGGCTGCTCATTGAACCGTCACTGGCTTTGAAAAATACAAATGATCTATAATCTACACAGGCTGTGTACACACTGCACATTTGAATTGCATAGCTTCCTCCAAGGAATCATGAGAACCATAGTTTACCCCCCCCACAAAGAGCTATAATTCCCAGCAGCCACACGAAACTACACTTCCTAGAATTCTTTGGCAGGAAATTGGCTTTAAATGTAGGCAGTGTAAGCAACCACTGTCTGATTAATGCCACCCTTTTACAATGGCACCGTAGCTCCTGCAAAATGCATAGAGGAACAAATATTGAACTTGAGAAAAATGTATATTTTTAAACACTGGTTATGCATGTGCTGATCCCACATCTTCAAGAACGCTGTCAGTCATATTTGACAATTGACTGGGCTGAATGAATGCCTGTCCCCAAATCTTTTTAATTTTTTTTTTTTTACATTGACTGGCATGACATGTACAGGAAGCATAATTTTAGCTCTTTCCAGAAGATAGACACACACACACACACACA